GCTGTATCCTTTTCATTCCTGTCATGCATGAGTTTTAGGTGTTGCTTATCAAGTCAATGTCTGAACAGGCTTAAATGCATAAAATGCCCACTTAATTCTTACAGAACACATCTGCCATGTACTCTATTTCTTTTTATCTGTTGATGACTACCCTTATGGGCACATCTTTTAGAGCAGTGGCTTATACACCTTTAGGTGCACACAAATCACCTAAGGATATTGTGAACATGCAGATTCCAATTCAGTATGACTGGATGGGCACAAGATTCTGCATTTCTTCTAACGGGCTCCCAGAGGATGCTGCTGCTACTTGTCCAAACAAGGGCAAAGAGTAGTTTAACCAGCAAGCTTGACTCAAACTACCTGTTATTGTTTGAATATTGCTTAGGGTGTCTCTCAAAGACACATATGTTAAAGGCCTGATCCTCAGAGTGTCACTGTCAGGAGGTGGTGGAATCATTAGGGGGTGGGGCCTAGTGGGAGGTCCTTAGATCATTGGTGGTGTGCCCTTGGAAGCTAGTCTTTATGAGATGGTTGATTATAGAAGCTTAGGTTGAGTTTAATACCTCTCTCTGTTTTTCAGCTTACCATGTGATCGTTCCTCCATACATACTCCATTGTTACCATCTGCTGGCTTTATCAGAAACCAAACTAATAGGGCTGTCTGTTCGTGGACTTGAACCTCTCAAACTGAGCTAACCAATCCTTTCCTATTTCTAAGGTTAATCCTCAGGCATTACCTTATAGTAACAAAAATGTGACTATTATGCTGCTCTAACCAACTATTTCTCCAACAGGTTTGCAACCTGAAAAAGGGTACTTATGGAATAAATCTTAGGGTCTGTGAATGAGAATTATTTCTCCTGTCTGAAAGATGCATTTGTGTATACAAGAAAGGGTGCTAGAACTGAAATTGTGCAACAGGTATTGGTATTAAGTCCTGGATTTGCTAGTGAGTAGCTATATGATCTTGGATACCTCATTTCACTCCTCTAAGGCCTCTCATTTCTGAACAACTATAGCAGGAGTATTAACATTCACTTTAACTACCTGTCCCTCGGAGTTAGTGAGAATTAACTAGGGTGACATACATATATATGTATATATATACATATTTATATATACATAATACATATATACATAATTATTTATTTATTTGACAGATAGAGTTCAACAGTGAGGGAGAGAGACAGAGAGAAAGGTCTTTCTTCCATTGGTTCACCCCCCAAATGCCTGCTATGGCCAGTGCTGCGTTGATCCGAAGCCAGGAGGCAGGTGCTTCTTCCTGGTCTCCCATGTGGGTGCAGGGGCCCAGGCACTTGGGCCATCCTCCACTGCTTTCTTGGGCCCCAGCAGAGAGATGGACTGGAAGAGGAGCAACTGAGACTAGAACCTGGTGCCCATAAGGGATGCCAGCGCCACAGGCAGAGGATTACCCAAGTGAGCCACGGCACTGGCCCCATAATTTTTTAAAACTTTGTGATAAGTGCAAAGTGCTGTTAAAAGAAAGTTGTTTATTCTTTGAAGTCTATTTAGAAAATGAAAGGCTAGTATTGGTCCAAGCAGGAAGTCCCTTTGACATGAAGGGCTCTGTTTGTGGTATTTCTACAGGCCTATTTGAAGAATGTATCCTTCAGCATGCTCTAACAAAAACATGTTCAAACCTTCTATTCCTTGGCATTGCCTATGGAGTTAACTGCTTTCTGCTCAGCATCACGGCCACCCTCAGACCCCTCATAAAGCCCAAGATCATCAAAAACAGGACCAAGAAGTTCATCTGGCACGAGTCAGACAGAAACCCAGAGCTATTGACCACTGGGTGGGGAGAAGATTCAAGGGCTGGATCTTGATTTCCAACACTGGTTATGGGAGAACAAGAAAACGAAGCACATGCTTCCCAGTGGCTTCTGGAAGTTTCTATTCCACAGTGTCCAGGAGCTGGAGGTGCTGCCAATGTGCAACAAAACTTATTGTGCTGAGATTGTTCACAATCTTTTCTTCAAGAGTCACAAAGCCATCATGGAAAGAGCAGCCCAGCTGACCATCAGTCATCAGTCCCAATGCCAGGCTCTGCAGTAAAAAAAATAGTAGACAACTAGTGTGCACATTTTATTTATGTTTAAATAAAACCTTGGAAGCTGCAAAAACAAAAACAAAAAAACATGGTCAACTATAAATATTTTATCAACAATTTCTAGGGGCCAGCATTGTGGCATAGTGGGTAAAGTCACTGCCTGCAACACCAGCATACCACATGGGTACCAGTTCTTGTCCTGGCTGCTCCACTTCTGATCCAACTCCCTGCTAATGGCCTGAGAAAAGCAGCAGAAGATGGCCCAGGTACTTGGGTCCCTGTCACCCATGTGGGAGATCTACCTGAGGCTCCTGGTTCCTGGCTTTGGCCTGGCCCAGTCCCGGCCACTGTGGCCATATGGGGAATGAACCAGCAGATGGAAGATCTCTCTCTCTCTCTCTCTCTCTCTCTGTCTGTCGCTCCTTGTCTCTGTAACCCTGACTCTCAAATAAATAGCTCTTAAAATAGTTTGTAGTAGTTCAATATATTTCTACTATTCAGTTCTTTGTATGTCAAGGCATTGTCCTTTGGCTAACGGATACATAAAATACCTTAGGTAGGGTTCTGGATCTAGAGGAGTTTAAGTTCACAGTGAAAGTTGAATCATGGGCCCAGGTAGTTCAATTAAAAGTAGAGAGTGGGTCATGTGTAATGGGGGTGAATGCATTCCCAGGCCAATGACCGTAGAGTGTCCTAATGGCCTTTTTTTTTTTCTACTTCCTTCTTCTCCCCTCAAGTGTTTTGAGCCTTTCTCAGGTGGTTTTATCTGTATGCTGGGTAATAAGAGGTGGTGTGGAACAGTGATTGAAAACAGGGATTTGCAATCAGTTTGAAGATTAGTGCTCTGTGATCTTGGGCAGTTCATTTAACCTTTCTGCACTATGGTTTCCTCATCTGGACACTGGACATGCTATGATAGTACCTACTCCTGTGGGATGTTGTAAAGATTTAATAACTGAATTAATATAAACTCGTAGGCCCCCTCCTTCAACACAGCAAGTTCAATGGGTTAGCTATTATCTTAGTGTTGAATGAAAGGGAAATCTGCACAAGCCAATGATGGTAAGGCTCAGCCCATGTTAAACTCTGACAGAATACAGGTAGCTAAGGGTGGAGGTCTCATCCCAACACCAGGAGGTGGATGGCTCATGGGGCTTTCAGCTCTGACAGTGTGGTACCTTGAATGATGCCAGGTGCTGGCTTGGCTTTTACTCTCTAGCAAAGCTGTGCTGCCCCTCCCTGGCACTGGCCACCTATGTACTGACTTCTGAACTGCCTCTCCTCTTACCCTGACCCCCTAGGACAGAATATCTGCCTTTCTTCCTTGGTCTTTTCTAATGTTACTCTAGGAGGACAGATCTCCAGATGGCTTTTGCTGACCTAGCTTTCCCCTGTCCTGCTTGAAGTTCTTGGAATAACTGTAAAATGCACTAAGGATACAATGTTCTGAGATCAGGAGGAATTATCTGGAACATCTCAGGCTATGTTCTTATTCCTTCTCAACCAGCATGTTCTTCAATGTTTGAGTTCAGTGATCCAAGTTGTGCCCAGAGTGTAAAACTCAGGGTGAAGTGCTTCCATAGGAAGAGTGCAAACAAGACTCCATCTAGCCCGAGAGGCTTCCTGAGCCTTGGGGGAAAGACTGGGCTGTGGATCCTAAGCTTCTGCCATCCTTAATCGTGTCTGTGAGTAATAAATTTGCTCTCTCTGGTACAGGATGTGAATGTTCTGTCTCACTGGACTTGTGCAACTGGTGAAGAAAGTTTCCAGTCACAACTTATTGTGTTCTTCCCTGATGACCCTCTCCTAGTCTCCCTGAGGACAGAATGGGATGCATATTAGGTAGTATCCTCCCCTCTCTAGTCTTAGTCCAGTTCTACTGTGTGATGATGTTATTTTCCCTGCTTATCACAGGGCTACTCTTGTTTTAGTAGCAAAATATATAAATATTCATTCTCTTTATCTAACAACCTGAAGTTTCATGTTATGGTGGAGGCCTTTGATTGAACAGGAGAAAAACCACATGCACAGATGTTGGGAAAAATGTGACAAAATTCACGTTCAAGACATGAAGCCTCTCTTTGCAGGAGAGATGCAAAGACAAAGTGGGGAGAGAGCAGAAGAGGTTACCAGCAGCCAAGCAGAATATCCTTAATTGCTGTTTGCATACAAGGCACTGTGAGTACATGAAGGAGAATTAAGTTGTGCAAAGGTCAGATTTCCCAGTGGTGTGTGGTTTCCGAGGGTCAGTAGAGCATGTGATGTCCCTCAGCTGAGAATAAAACCCGAGACTGAAGGATGAAGACAGAAGCTCCATATGCATAAAAGAGTTCAGGGTGGGTGCTTTGGGTAGCAGTTATGATGTCACCTTGGATACCTGCATCTTATGATGTAGTGCCTGGGTTTGAATTTCTGTTCTGCTTCTGATTTCAGCTTCCTAAAAGCAGGCCATGACTCAAATCCTTGGGTCCCTGCCTCTTATGTGGGAGACACAGACTGAATATTAAGCTCCTGGCTTTGGCCTGGCCCAACCCGGCTGCTGCAGACATTTGGGGGAGTGAACCAGTGGATGGAAGAATCTGACTCTGTCTCTGTCTTTGTCTCTCTGTCTTTCAAATAAAATTCAAAAATTAAAAAAGAGTAAAAGAGTTTGTTTAGGGCAACTTACATAAAGGATTCCATTCTGGCTTAGATAGGCTACCTGGACACACAAAACACTGCAGTAAGGACTTTTTTTTTTCCACAGAGGGTGGCAGAAGAGTTTTATGCTTTTATCAATGACAAGGGAGCTGAGGGTTGGAATTTGTGTTGAAACCTTCCTTAAGTGCTCTTCTTTAGGAGCTAGCTCCTTGGGTGTTCTTTTAGTTTCCTGAACTTATTAGAAAGGCTTGCGATAGCACATAAGTGGTTCTAGTTAGGATGGTGGTCAGCATCCTTCTGAGATAAAACAAAATGGAATGGTGAGGATGGAAACACCATCAAAGTCTCCATCACAGCCCATTATTCCAGTTACTGCTATCTCTTTGATGTGGTTCAGGTGGTTAGCTACATGGTATAGGCTGGCATCCTCTTTGCAGGAAATGTGGTCTCTGTAGAAGTTCACCACCACCAGTCTGCCTGTTTCCTGCACCAGCTGTGGTACATCATCAGGCAGATTGCACTGGTTTGCACACAGGCTGTAGGCAGAGGAGTGGATGCAAATGACTGAGATTTTGGACAGCAGTAGAGCAGCCTTCATAGTGGCCACAGACACGTGGATCAAGTTGATGACTATGCCAGGGTAGTTGGTCTCCTTCATTACATGCTGTCCAAACAGTGAAAGTCCTTGGCTCTTCGCCATGTCATATCCTCTGCTTACCAGCCAATTGTTGGTCCAGGGTGCATTGCAGCTGTGGGTAAGGGTCAATTTCCACATGCTGAGGTGGTAGAATACCTGCAGCATGCCCAGGCTGCAGTGGATGGACTGGCCCCCTCCATGGCAGTCAGATTGGCCACCTTCCCCTCCTGGAAACCCTGAAGATGCCTACATTGGTGGTGGTGCACAGGAACGTCTCTACAAATATCTGGCATATGCAGTGGGTGTGTCCATCACCACTGCCCCAGTGTCTTCCTGGCATGTGGCATCTCTTTTTGGGTATACCAGAGTATGTAGACAGACTGAACTGGCCCCCTACAAAGCCAGGCTTCAGTTTGGGGATGTTGGTGTAGTGTTGGCCACAGTGGTCAAGTTGGTCTTCTCATTCTGCAGCTGTTGTTGAAAATGGCCAGCAGCATAACTAGTACTGAAACAGTATTTTACACTTTGTGTTTCTGTGTGGGTGCAAACTGATGAAATCTTTACTTAATATATACTAAATCAATCTTCTGTATATGAAGATAATTGAAAATGAATCTTGATGTGAATGGAATGGGAGAGGGAGTGGGAGATGGGAGGGGTGTGAGTGGGAGGGAAATTATGGGGGGGGGGAAGCCATTGTAATCCATAAACTGTACTTTGGAAATTTACATTTACTAAATTAAAAAAAAGCAAAAAAAAAAAAATAGAAAAAAGAAAAAGAAAATGGCCAGCGGCTTCCAGGGAAGGTCACTGTGCCTGGGAGGACCCAGTGGGAAGAATCCAATGAGGGTTAGGATGGCCACCTGGATCTGGGGTCTCCAAGTTCTCTGACCCACAAGCTGCCCTCTCCAGTTCCTGCTTCTCATGGACAAAAAGCTCCTATCTTGAAGTTTTGATATGTGTATACATTATAGGATGATCCCCACAACCAAGTTAATTAACATTATCTATTGCCTCACAGTTTCCATTTTCTTTCTTTTTTTTTTTTTTCAAAATGAAATCATATCAACCCATTTTTTTCTCTCATTGGGTTTATTATACTTTTGATTCTTATATGCAGGGCTTTTTGCTAGAAGCCAATCTGGAAAATGTGAGGAATGAAAGGCAAGTTTCCTGTTACCAAAACACTTCTAATCTAGCTTGAAAGACAAAGTATATATGCACAAAAAGATTAATACAAGATGGAAATAATAGCACTTCAGGAAAACAATGAGCCATTTATGCACACAGAATGAGTGACAACTGAGGGGGCAGGAACTCAAGGACTACTGGTTGAATATATGATTAAAAGCATGCATGGTAGCCAATGGAACTGAGGCAAGAGGGTGTAGTGGCCAATGAGTGTAAGGTAAGGGAGACATAGCAGCCAATAGGATGGAGTGGGAGTATGGGGGACATTGTCTGGCTCTGGGAGGAAGTTGGCGAGCACAAAGCCACTCTGCAGGGCTGAGCTAGAGCCGCAGTTGTCAGTCCCTTGAGGATCTCAGATTCTCCCCCCAAGCTCCATCCCTGCAAAGCACTGAATTACCCATCCATTCACAGTGCTTGCAGGCAAGGGTGGATTTTTTTTTTCTGTCCTCCCACTTTTTGCTTTTCAATTGATAGAGCAGATGGAAATTTTGTTTCTCAATTACCCAGTGTCCCCATTTGATCTGAGTACATCTGGAAGGAGATTATTTGGATACATTTGCTTTTAAAAAATGAGAGTGAAAACAAGTATGGAGTATGGGGGAGGGATTTTATTTATTTTTTTCTTCCTTCCTGCCTCATCAATATAATTTCCCAAGAAAAACAAAGAAATAAACTCTTACAACATTAAGTCACAGCAGGGACTACTTCTGTTTCATTCCTCTCATCTCAAAATAAACTTAATTTATAAGGACTAGGAGAAGTACAGTGATATTCTGCAATGCAAATAAAACACAGCATGAGCACATACACAGGAAGAAAGTTTTGCGCTGTAAATATACTTAGGAAATTCAGAGAAGCATTAAAAGTTCGGGCAGGCATTAGAAATGATTACTTTGGAAATGAATTGCAATTTTCCATTTTTAAGGGAACATATGTTGCTAAGATTTCTCTTCCAGGATTGACTAGAGAGGGTGGCCTTTAGCCAGTTTTTTATCCTGATTGATTTGGCTGACTGTACTGGGTTTAAAAGGCCTATGGCAGTGCTATTCTTTGAGTGTGTTCACTTTTACTTCTCTTCTTGTAGCCTGGGCAGTTTAGAGCATTGTCATCACAGATTATAATTTAACCATTTAGTTCCTCTGGCAATTAAAATAAGTGTGCTAATCAAACCACTGACTTATCAATGAAAACGTGTCCAACACATCCCTTTCCTGAAATTCTAGTTACAACACAATAACAAATGTTGAATGATAAATTTCTTCCTGATCTTGCCATTAAGTTAGAGGATAATATTTGGAAAAGGCAAGCATCTCAGATCAGCTCTCAGCAAAACAGCGAGGGCAGAAAGTGTGGCTCAGGCCCTGGTTGCCTCCTTTCTCTGTTCCCATCTCTTTAGAACTCTCTGTAGGTTTCCACCTCCCATCATCCTTGCTATTCTTATTAAGAGGAAAGCAATTTGATGGCTGCGTTCCTGCCCAGGTGTGAGAGATGTTACAGAGTGGCTGCACTGACAATCTATGACCTGGAGAGCCTGGGAGCTGAGTTTGAGAGAGCAGTGACTATATGAGAGGAGACAGGGTGGTTAGGTCCTGGGCAACCACAGAGCACTTCTCTGATCTCTCCGAGCTCCTCGGTTGCCTATAGTAGCTCATAGCAGGGGGAACCATGCTCACAGGGAAGACTCTACAGATCAAACGTGCAGTTCATAAAGCAGTGCACATGATTGCTGAGCACACTGGGTACAAACACTGGGGCATCCTTCAGCTGTGAGAAGAAGGGCTGGTCTCACCAACAGAGGTAACCATCCCTCTCCATCCAGTTAACCAAAGTAGAGCTACCATGCCCAACTGGGGTCTTACCCTGGATACTCACTCCACTCTAGAATATTGAGAGAGCATCCTGGTCACACCCAGCACATGTAACTTGGTATTCACTGAAAGTGTAGATGTTCCACTAAGTCACAGAGATACAGACCAAAGATAAAAGCCATCAGAAGAAAAAATTCTACAAATGCCAAACATAAAGGCAAAAATTCAAGAAATAAGAATAAGGAAGACACTTTGAGCCCTCCAAAGGAACACTACAACATTTCAATATTAGAAGGTGAAGATGAAGATGAAATGCCAGAAACATAATTAAAAAACTAATCATCAGATTACTCAGAAGCAATCAGAAGCAAATTCACAAACTAAAGAAAACTATATATGATATGAATGAAAACTTTTCCCATGAAATTGAGATCTTAAAAATCAAAATGAAATACTAGAAATGAAGAATTAAATAGGTCAAATAAAAATGCAGTGGAAAGTCTTAACAACAGAGTAGGTGAGGCAGAAGGAAGAATATCTCAGTTAGAAGACAAATCTCTGGAAATTTTGCTGTCAGATCATATTAAGAAAAAATATCAGAAAACTAAAAAGCACTGTTGGAGATTTACAGGATGCTATCAAACAACCCAACATACAGGTCTTAGGAGTCCCTAAAGGCACTGAAAGTGAGAAAGGATTAGAAAGCCTTTTCAGTGAAATAATAATAGAAAACTTCTCTAATCTGGAGAAAGAAAGTAATATCCAAGTATTGGAAGCACACAGAACTCCAAGAGACATGACCAGAAAAGATCTTCACCATGACACATTGCAGTAAAACTCTCCACATAAAACACACACACACACACAAAGATTCTAAAATTTGTATGAGAGAAATGCCAGGTCACTTTTGGAGGAATTCCAGTTGGACCCACAGCAGACATCTCATCAGAAACCCTACAAGTTAGGAGAGAATGGTGAGATATATTCCATTTCTTAAGAGATAAAAATGTCAACCCAGAATACTATAAACTATAAATCTCTCATTTATGAATCAAGGTGAAATAAAGACCTTCCATAACAAAGAAATTGAAAGAATTTGTCACCACCTCTCCAACCTTACAAAAGATGCTTAAGGATGTGCTACACACAGAAACACAGAAACATGGTCATCACTGAAAAAAAGGTGAAGGCAGAAAATCTCCCAGTAAAAGCATAAAGAAAATCCAAAGTAAAAATTAGGAATATTTATGGAAAAATTACAGAGCCAAGTTGTTACTTGTCAGTAGTCACCTTAAATGTAAATGGGTTAAACGCTTCAGTTAAAAGATAAAGACTGAATGAATGGGTTAAAAAACAAGATCCATCTCTTTGCTGTCTACAAAAACACATCTCACCAACAATGATACATGCAGACTGAATGTGAAAGGATGGAAAAAGATCCTCCATGCTAACAGAAACCAAAAAAGAAGTGGTGTACCATCCTAATACCAGACAAATAGGCTTTATCACAAAAAATGTTAAAAGAGACAAAGAAGGGCACTATTTAATAATTTAGGGATAAATTCAACAGGAAGATAAAACTATTATAAATGTATATTCACCTAATTATAGAGCACCTGGCTATTTAAAAGAAATGCTAATAGATTTAAAGGGAGACATATACTCTAATACAATGGTAATGGGGGACTTCAATGCTCCACTTTCAGCAATGGACAGGTCAACCAGATAGAAAATCAGCAAGGAAATAATAGACTTAATTGACTCTGTAGACCAAATGGACCTAAGATATATTTGCAGACCTTTCCATCCTACAGCCACAGAATACACATTCTTCTCACCAGTGCATGGACCTTTCTCTAGTTGACCACATGCTAGTCCATAAAGCAAGTCTGAGAAAATTCAAAAAATCAAAATCATACCATGCATCTTCTCAGACCACATAGAATGAAATTGGTAATCAGCAACTCAGGAACCTCTAGAACATATGAAAACACACAGAGTGAGCAACATGCTGCAGAATGAACAGTAGCTTATTGAAGAAATCAAAAGAGAAATAAAAAAATTCTGGAAACAAATGAAGAAAGCAAAACAACATATCAAACTGTAAAAGCAGTGTTAAGAAGAAAGTTTAGAGTATTGATGTCTACATAAAAATTGGAAAGGCACCAAATAAATGAGCTATCAATACATCTCAAGGACATAGAAAAACAACAGCTAATCAAACCCAAAACTAGTAAGAGGGAAGAAATAATTAAAATTAAATAAGAAATAAACAAAATTGAAACAAAAATTACAAAATATCAGTGAAACAAATAATTTTTTTTGAAAAACTAAGACAAAT